TGCGGCGTCTATGCACACGGTGCACTCGCATTACGCTTAATGTCGCACGGCCACAGCAGTCGCGCACATGCGGCCAGCAAATTATCGCCGGTATATTATTGTGCTGCGTGTGCGTATAACGTGTTCGTTCCATCCTCCTTCGACGTTCGTCTCTTTTTCTCTTTTTCTTCTTTTTCTCTTCCTTTTCCCTCTCATCCTACCGTCACGTTCCTCTCTCGTTCTCTCGCTCTCTCGTTCTCCTCGTGTCTCGCCGTTCTGCCATCTCCGTCTCTGACTCCTCCGCTACACCCCGTGTTCCCTGCCACTCCTCATTTTTCTCTCTGTTTCTCCGTTTGCTCTCTTTCCGACGCGCGCGCCTCCGGGTACAAGCCAAGCGAAATGACGATGGTCGCGCGTGTACCGAGAGACACGTTATACCTCCGTGTATTTTTATCAACGGAAGTGCGTAGTTGTCATTCCTGCACAGCCTGCGCCTGGAAAAGCGACGCAGAAGGAGGAGAGCAGCGTGAAACGCGCCGCTCGTGTACGCGTGTATTTCTTGTTCCCGCCATTGTCGCAGGCACACGCGTCGCGCTCCGTGCGTCCGCTTCCTTTATCGTTTATCCCTTTCGTAATTTCGCCTTGCAGGCTCTTCACCTGTCCTCGTACAGTCGGGAAAATGTATATTTCTCCCCGTTTCCGCGAATCTCCGCGAAGAAGATGGTTTTCCTCGACGGTGACGTGGTCGAAAAATTCGAAGGTAAACACGCGACAGGAGGGCCGAGACGAGAAAGAGGGTAACCGCGTGGGCAAGTTTGATCGATACTCGGCCACCCTCGCTGTTACCTCGCGATTTGCCTGGTTAACGCGAGGAAAGCTTAAAACATGCGTCAGTAAAACATCAACTACCCAGATAAGCAGATAACCGGGCGTTGTGTGCACGCGTGAACCACTTGTCCGTGTATCCGTCCGTACGACAGGGCTGTATGTGTGGCCGGGGGACTGTAACGGCGAACGGATATGTTTCGCGAAGCCATGACGGCTGCGCGTTCACTGCATAACCGGATCAGAAACCATGCAATCGTATCTACTTTTCTACTTACGCTTTAGTTGGGGTGCTTCGCCTACATGCGATCACGATACAGCCGCGTCGCGCGATTACGAGAATTTCTTTTTTTTTTTTTCCTTTGCTTTTCTTCTTTTTTCGAACGCTCATCGACGCGCACACCCTCTACCGTTTTCCCCAACCCCCTCGATCAGGTCTGAGGAGAAGAAATTTTACCCGCAAGTGTAACGCGCGCGCGAATGCGAGAAGCACGGGTAACGAAGGATTTCGCGCGAACCGACACAGGCGAGTGAGACGTCGGCCGACTCGCGAGATATAAATTTCGCGGGGGATCGTTAAGAGAGATCGGACAGCGCTGATCGCGGAACGGAGTCGCACGACGGAGTCGAGTTTAACGATACTCGGTTCCTCTCCTCCCCCTCGGTAATAATTCCTCTCATTTTTCCGCGTTAATTCTCATCAGCCGACGTTTTCTACGGATTCGCGTTAACAGCGCGATGCGAGATACCGCGAAACGTGGGAAACCTCTCGCCCACTTTATTACGACGCTTTTGTAGTCACGCTCGCGGCGGCGGCGGCGGCGGCAGCGGCGACGACGACGGCGATGGCAGCGGCCAAAGAAATTTTCTTCGAATAGCTCGCGCTAGGCCGTGCCTCGCGTTCCCCTGTATATCACCGGTCGCCACTGCTCCGCGGCCATAATTTTCTAGCCACCTGTGTGTTGCCAGCGATCACGCTGGAATCCAGAGCGTCCGCTTTCTAAAAACCGTAAGTAACGCGAGAGCAGAGAAGATCGTTCGATCGATTAAAGTGGTCGATGGCGGAGGGGACGACGGAATCGGGGTTTCTTTGCCACCGATCGCGAGCGATCGCCGCTCGCCACGATAATTGATTAATGGGAATGAAAGAGGGAATAAAGAGGGAACGCGTATGGGACACAATGAAGGTGAACTAGGAGGAATAAACGGCTAGCTGCGGAATGCGTGTGCGGCATAATGTAAGCAATTACTTCGGTTCTTCGTTTTTAGATCGCGACTTCCGATACCGGGCCTACGAAGCAACTTGATGCGTTTTTAACGAGAATAAAATGGTAGCGAGATAGCGTAATAATTAATTGTTCGGTTATCTCGAATTTCGTATAGCTGTCTTCGTTGCGCCGCTGGTATCGTCTTTAATGGATCGGGCAATACGTTGGTAATTACGTGGCCCTCTTTTCCTAGCGTTATTCGAACTTCGACTCGAATCGTTAACAACGAGGGAAACCGTACGCGATATCGATGTTCGACGAGTACAGCGAAACTTTGCAACAACCCGCTATTCCGCGATTTCGTCTTTTTAGACCGAGATCGAGCGAAGCGTCGTCGAAGGCTATCCATCGCTCGAGGCTTCTCTGTGTTTCGATTTTGCAGATACTCGGCTCGGTCGTCGAAAGAACTTTTCTCGTGGTCCCCCATTTTTTTCTTTCTCTTTCCGTCCCTTTTTCGTTCATTTTTTCTCTTCTTATCCTATTTGAATCGTCATCGCGGTCACCGTTGCAGCGGAGATTTCCAACGAAACTCCGAGGCTGGAGCGAAATAAAGCGTAGGTTGAATGGCGTTGCATTACGCGGAAGACTCGCCTTTAATCATCCATCGACGCGCTGGAAACGTACTCTTTTCCCCGGTTGTTGACGGAATGCGTGCGCGAAATATAATTCCCGGCTCGAGGTGGCACGTCGCACGCGTATTATTACGTGTCCGGCATCGGCGTGTCTAATTACGTTCGATTCAATTTCGAAATTACGTTTCGTCGCGAATTATTATCTGCCCGCGTCGCCCCCTTCCGCGACGAAACCGCGTCAGAGACGCACGCGAGCGAAATGAAAAAGATTCGGAGAAGGAAAGAAGGGAAAGAAACAAGGAATAGATAGATAAATAAATAAATAAATAAATAAGAAAAAAATTACGAGTTAGAGGATATTCCAGGTTGATAATCGGAAATTCTCGGCCTACGACGACACCCCTGCCCCCCAACGCGACTCGTTCGCTAGTCTACGACGCACGAGCGTCCATACAATTAATTATTGACCCGTTTTAATCGCGTTAGGTCTAATTAGCGGGGAGAGGGAGTCCGTCTCAAAGTTGTTAATTAAATTGGTTAATGCGATAAAGGAGTCCATAGCGGAGTTCTCTACGTTCCCTTTCTCTTCCCGCCTCTTTCGTTCCCCCGTTCCATATCGGGCTCGTTCGTGTCTTTGTGTACCGCCCGCGCCGAGCTGCACCGCGCGAAACGTAGACCAAGAGATACTTTCAGCCACGGCGATTATTTCAATTATACCGTGTAGCCTCGGGATCGCAAACCCGCTCCGCTCCGGTGTGTATGCTCACGGTTTCGAGCGAATAGCCGGCGTGACGAGTAATGGACGCCCCCTTTTGCGAATGTTTATACCGCCGCCACGCTGTATCGTAATCCCATTGAGAAGAAGAGGCTGCTATAATAAGAATTTCAATCGAACGGTTATCATCGTCCCTGTAATTCCGTTACGCGCGTGTTTTCCATCCTCTGTCGCGGGAAATTGCCGTGGAATTTCTGCCCGGTTCAGAACCACCCCCGGCCCTCCCACCGCGATAATTACTTTTAAAATAGAATCCTCTCTAATCGTTAACGGTGCACATTTATTGGCAAGCGTACTCTCCTCTTGTTTACGAAAACCGCGCTATTGCGACTAATCCTCGCGATTCCGCGTCGGTTTCTCCAGCGGTCCACTTCGTCACGATTAATCGGCGCTTCTTCGAGTGTCGCGAGCTCGAGGCGTGTACGATCGCTCGACGATCGCCGTGAACGTCGCACGCGATGCAGAGACACGCGGAAGTCGATGGAACACGAATTTTCAGAGCGAATCGCGTTGCCTGCCGGTCGTCTCGCCGCTATCTCTTTCACGCGATCGAATATTTCAAAGCGGGGTGTGGGAAAGGGGAGAAAAAAGGCGGAGGAAAGAAAGGTGGAAGGAAGAAAATTGTAAAGCCGCTGGACAGCGTCGAGTTTCAACCGGTCAAACGCGCGTTGCTCGGTATTACAAAACCGGCGACGATTATAACCGGCAACGGGTAAATCGATAGCGGCGACCGACAATAATAAATACTCTCGCGACCCCCCTCTGGTCTTTTAGCGTATACTCGATTCGAAATGCCGTGTCTCGATAATCGAACCGAACCACCGTATAGGTTTCAGAGATATTCCAGCCTGTGCACGCTGCCGGGCCGTCCATTCCTCTCGCGTTCTTGCGGATCGCCGTTGTACGACACCTCTGCCGCGTCGCCTCGAAATAACCGTCGGTGGCGTTAGCTCGAAAAGCCCCGGCAGTCATTAATTATAATTAATATCGGTGCCGATAATGGCAGCCACCGCGGTTCGTATATTGCCAGGACATAGATCGGCGAGAACGCCTCTAACGTGTAAGTGCGCGCTATATACGTCCATATAAATTTCCATCTTCCATCGAGATGATCGTCCCTGTTACACAGCCGCGTTTATACGAGTGGTCAATTTGTAGGCTGGGTCGGTGGTTGGTCGTTAAAGAAAAAGGAAGATACGAAACGTACGTCGAAGAAGCGCCACAGAGTCGGCGGAAAAGAGGAGAAGAGAGAGAGAGAGAGAGCGCTCGCGCGCGGTACAGTCCGTGGAGTCGTTAAAAGCTACGCGAAAGGTATCGACGACGTGGATTAAACGTTGCTCGTTATACGTGTCGTGGTTGTAAATTGTCGTTGTAAATCAATTGGCCAGATCTGGCCGGGCTGAACGACCTGATAAATAGGATTAACTGATTTACATGAACGAGATTCGTCCGGCCAGCATCGATCATAATCAACGCTCTAGATAGCGCAATCTAGAATTCATTTCCGCCGGCCGTAAGAGTTCCTCCGTCTCAAAGTTGTTTTTTTCTTTTCCCTCTTTTTCTTCGCTCGCCACGCTACAGGCCAATCCATGCCAGCATCCGATCGTGATCCTGAGGGACGTTGCCTCGTCGGATATGGAGTCGTTGCTGCGCTTCATGTACCACGGAGAGGTTCACGTGGGCCAGGAGCAGCTGGCCGCGTTCCTCAAGACGGCGCAGATGCTGCAGGTTCGAGGGTTGGCCGACGTGAACAGCGGTGCTGCCACCGCCAAGATTCCGCCCCCATCGTCGTCCGGTGGAAACAACGGCAGTGCACCGGTAAGTGCCATTTTTCCGATTTCGTCTTTTCCCGTGGTACGCTATTTTCCGTACGATTGCACACGATTCCATACGATCGAATTCGAACGACAGGCGACACCGCGCAATCCTTGGCAAGACAACGGCAGAGGAGAGTTGAACGAGGGTGCGCTGAGTCCACCACCGGAGAAGAGACCTAGAAGCTACAGTCCACCGTTGGGCAACCACGTGGAGCCGAAAACGGACCTTCAGGAATCGCTTTTGAGCCAGGCTCTCGAAGGAGGACCCACGATACACACCACGCCCACGAACAATGTACAGGTAGGCGCGACATTTTCATCGAGTCGATGATTCTCCACGCGTGCTTCCTTGCGAAGAACGGATACGAGAAAGGGGTTTATCGTTGGTTACAGGCGCAGTCTACCGGCGAGGACTCGAATTCCATGTCGGACAACGAGGAGGAGATATCGAATAACGACAGTATCTTGAATTCCGTGAAGACCGAACCGAGCGACATCCTGAACGAATCTATAGAACATCATCGTAACTCGTTTCCGATCTTGGGATTACCAGGTAATTTCATCGAAATCGATTACTTGCCCCCTTTTCCTCGTAAATATCGCCGGCCCTTACGATTTCGCTGCAAATCCGCGCGAAATAGCATCGAGTCGATGAACGTATACTTATTTCCTGTTTAGAGTTCACCAATCCTACGAGACAATTGAGTGATTATGATCGTAATTGATAATTACAGGACTGATACCGGGGCCATCCGGGATCCACGCGGCGAATCAGGATTCGAATTACGGTAAGTGATCAGAGCCAACGATTCGATTTCACAGTTTATTACGATTTCGTAGCCCAGACTATAGTATCCTCCCGTCGATTCCCTCAAGACTCTGGTCTCTCGTTGTTGCGTTGAATGCATGGAACTCTCGTACCTCTCACAACCCTGCATCCCCTTGCCCAACTTACCCCTTTTGGAAAAATAACGGAAAAGAAAGTAAGAATACGTAATAATAATGATAATAATAATAATGAAAAAAAAAAATAAATAAATGAAAAGAAAACCAAAAAAAAAAAACATGGCGAGCAACAGCGTATCGCGGAGCTACGTCTCCGACGGCTCTTCGAGTTCGTTTGTCGGAATAATATCGATTTTCCTCCGCAAAATGGCCTGCGGTCGTTAGAAACGGAATTGTTAGGGTTGCCATGCAAAGGCCATGCTTGACTCTTTTTAATCTCGAATTCTTTAAACGACCCTTCTTCGAGGCTTGCCGAGGCTAAGCGAACTAATCGGTCGGTCGGTCGACGAAGTACGAATTCTCAATCGACTGTTCAAATTGTTTATGGAAAAAAAAAAGAGAGGGTGGAAGTACGGAAATGGCAATGAAGAAGGACAAATGTACACACGTTACCACATTCATCAATCGCAATAAAAAACTGACGAAACAAAATTGATATCTGTGATACCTTGAGATTTAAAAAGTGAGAAATATGTACGTGTCTAAAAAAAAAAAAAAAAAAAAAAAAAAAAAAAATGTAAGAATTGTACGAACAGAACAGAAAACGAAGGGCTGTGGGAGGACAAAAAAAATTGAATAGTGTTTAAGGGATCGTACGAGATTGGCTGAGGACTGACATTGGCTGGTGGTTCCAGGGCGATGGCAGCCCTCTGGAGGAGACGGTTCAAGCTCGAGTTCCGGTTGGTTGCCGGGTACGTCCTCCACGAGGAACGAGCACCCCGGGTCTGGAACTTATCAGAGCGGAGTTCACAACTCGAAAGGTCAGGACCTGTCGTCTCTGCTCCAGCAGCATCACCATCACCATCACCTCCACGCCACCAGCCAAGCGTCGCAGCAACAACACGCCTTAAATGCCCTGAACTCACTGAACTCCCTGAACAGCCTGAATACCGAGCAGCTGACGATGATGCATCAGAAGCTGCAGAACAATCTGCAGTCGTTGCAGCAACAGCAACAAACCGCCAGCGCGAAAACCGAGCTGAATCTGATGCTTCAATCGTGCGCCAAGGAGAAGATTCAAGAGAGTATGGCGTTGTTCCATCAACAGACGCATCGTCGGTTTCATCAGCATCCTCATCATCAGACGGACACCACGAGTCAGACCGGGAAACCAAAGTGTCCGGAGTGCGGGAAGATTTACTCGAACAATTCGAACTTGAAGCAACACATCGTGAACGTGCACACCGTACAGACGGAATACGTTTCCTGTCACGTGTGCAACAAGCAGTTCAAGACGAAACAGTACCTTCAGATACATCTGTTGTCGATGCACGGTATACGGAAACGGAAGAGTTACCCGTTGTATCAGATGCAGACGCAGATGCAACAGCAACAGTCGTCGGGGGGTCAGGTGTCCGGCGGCCAGCAATCGCAGCAGCAATACCCGACACCGGCGGAAAGATGGCCCGAGGACAAACAGTGATCGGAACGCGTGTCTCGTGTATCGTTGATCGATCAGAGCATTGACGAGACACGCGTGTTTCCCTTGGACGATGTATTGCAGTGAAACGAGAAAGAGGAGGAGGGTCGATCAGAGTGGATGCTGGCAATCTCTATAATTGACCCTAAGGAATTTTCACGGATAGTTGGGAATTTTTTTTTTTATTTTTTTTGGCGGATAAAGCAACTATGACCTCGCAATAATGCTCGTAGTAGATGTACATATACGATTGTAAAATTGCATAGGAAAGTAAGCGTTCGTTCTTGCCGTAGACGCGCTCGGTGGATAGTTTTATATTTTTGTTCTCTCTTTTTTTTTTCTCCGTTTCCTGTTATTTTTTCTTTTTTTTTTTTTTTTTTTTTTTTTTTTTTTTTCTCTTTTCTTTCTCGTCTCTTTCGATAGTTAGGATAAAAGGACGGAGGTGGCGATAGGCAAGAGGAGGGTGAAAGAGGGTGCTGATACGAGGATTGGCCGACCTATTTTCGTATTGTACCGCAGTGCGCAGCCAATCCTTCGAGGCAGCGATAAGTAAGCCCCCGCGATTGGCCAACAGAGACTTCTTGAAATTCTCGCCGGAATTCTTATCGGCATAAATAGCGGTGGAGGAAGAAAGAAGGATGCGTCAGCCTCGTTTCTCGAAAAGAGAGTCATTCACGGGAAAACGTCGATAGGGCTGTATTCACCCCTTTTGAGGATTCGCGGTCTTTAAGGGGAACCGAGCGAACGGAGAATTCTAAAGAAATAGCTGAACCGGTGAAAATAGCCCTTCTAATGGAACCGAATCTTATCGCGAATATTTCCTTTCTTTTTTCTCCCTCTCGCTCTTTCTCTTTCTCTCTTTCTTCTCTTCTCTCTCTTTCTCTCTATCTGTCCCTCTCACTTTTTCCCCGCGTTTTAAGCGAATCAAATTTCTCCCCCCCCCCCTCTCTCTCTCTCTCTCTCTGACCCTCGGCAGATTCTTTCATCTTCGTCAGAATGCAATTAGATCGAGCGAATTGCGGCGATGTATTTTTACGAAAACGGGGCGAATTATTTCCGACCGTGGCGTCGAAACGAACCGAATTCAGGCCGCAATATTCGCTTGTCTTTTAACGTATCTTTGTACAGGGTGCTTTTAAAATATTGACACGCGTGGCTAAAACCGGTAGGCAGCGATGCAGCGCGTTCCATTTGCTCTCTGTCGTTTCCTCGTCTTGACGCGTCACATTTCGCCGCGACCGTATGTAAACGTGTGCATCCGCGTTCGCGTGCACCTCCGCTGTCTGTGCCCGTGCATTTTCAGGCACACGTGCACAGGTCGAAATGCCCGCGCACATTTAGGCTCACGGAATTACGAGGCAGAAAGAGATAGACTGGCTTGTATTGATCTCGAGGATTCAACAAACAGCACCTAGTGCCTCCCGCTCCTTCCTCTCTAACTTTACCTTACTCTTCCACCCTCGACCTCACCCTATCTCCTGGTTCGTTTTCCACGTATTCCGTGGAATTCGACTTGTCTCTTGGATATAGTTTGACGAGCTTCGGCTCAACCCTCGTTCCGAACGATAGTTTCCGAGCCAGCTTGTTAGCGGACGTTTGCCTCCTGTTGTCTTTCGTTTCTTTCCACCGGAGTTAGATCGGAGATGATAAATTTCCTCTTTGCTCTGCCTTTCCGTGATCGATAAGTTTCGGACGCATGATCGAGATAGAGGATGGAAGGACGTTTGGTACTCGCGAAACTCGAAGTGCAGTATCGTGCAAAAGGATGGTATCGGCGCGATCTACGTGGTTCGAGGATCGAATTGTCCATGGCTAACGGCGCGTGTGTTGTCAGTGTCGAGCCATCGGATCAGGGTTTTTCGAGGGTGAGGAGAAGAAAGTTGCGCGAGACACGCGATGCTCGGCCCTAGCGAGCGTAGGCCACGCGATGGTAGCGCACGATCAGCCTATCACCCCTATTGCGAACCCCTGGCAAAACAAACCCTGCCGGCTTATCCAATTCCACGGCATTTCCACGAATCTCTTCCATCTCCTGTCTGTGCTACCCAACCCTGACGCTCGTAGTTCCGACGTAAATGGAGGTGGAGACTCGCATTTGTTCCAGCCACCCCTTCCTCCCCCTCTTCCTCCCTCTCTTTCTCTAACTCTTTCTCTTTTGCTCTTTGTCCGCTTTAACCCTTCTCCGTCTCTCACCCTTCGTTTTTGCCTACGCTTTCTCCGTTTTTACCTTCGCCCCGCAATCCCTGCCATTCAACCGGTCGGTTTGAACCGTCTTCTTCTTATTTCTTGGCGTGAAACTGCGTCACCTTTGAGAGCCAGCGAGTCAGCCTCTAAAAGCACTTGCCGCTTTGGTTTCACTGACAGACCGAGGAAATGGTTCCACTTCCTGCTGTCGTGGAAGATGATGGCCTGGTAACACGTGTCTCTCTCCCTTTTTATCTTGCTCTTCTTTCTTCGCCCTCCTTTTCTTTCTCTCTCGAGTCGAGCTTCTTTTTAATAGATTCTTCTCGTAGTTAGCCACGATTGGTCGTAAATGTCACTGTCGGTCTAATTTTAACGATTGTCTAAGGTCAAAGTATGTTTCGAATATCAGGCGCCACTTGGAGAATAAACGTGCGAGAGAACGCTTGGGGTTTCGTTTCGGGACTGGACGAAAAGTGCATTCCAGTAGAAATAAAATTCGGGTTTCACGTAATTCGCGTTTCCCTCTCTTCTTCAATCGACCTTGCCGTGGAAAACGCGCCTAAGAGCCGCTCTCTGATTTTTCCTTCGTTTCCTCGACCGTCGAGCGGGAAATCTCAGGTTATGCCGGCGAAATCGACTCTCCATTCGTCGCTCTCCATAGATTAGAGTCATCTATCACCCGGATTCGATCCGGATAACCTTTCGTTTCGGACCTAGCTAGATTCTTATCGGCCCGATAAAAGTTTCCCCGACAAAAGTGGCGTGTCGTCTCCGGCGCGTTCGAGCGAGCTCCGCGTACGCAATATCTTGCGTCATTGTCGGGGGTAAACTCGGGGAAGGATGGCTGCGAGAGAAATTGCAGGGAAAGTATGAAAGCTATCGCGTGATTATCGTATAGAAAGAAGGAAGGATCTGCCGCTTGTATCACGCGTGTCACGTAGTTGGAGTCGGTTCCGCGGGAAATAACTTTTTCTTTCTCTCCTTTAATCCCACGCAGTTGCGTCGTTTCTTGCTCCTCCCTTCTGCCGTTCGACTCGGAATACAGATTCCCTCGATCGACGGAGAAGAGGAGCGAGGGTAGCATTAAAAGTTGCGAGAAGAAAAAGTCGAGCGAATAACACGCGAAGGTATGATCGATTGCGTTCCCTAGGAAAGTGTAATCTGCCTTGGAAAGTGGCT